CACACACACACACACACACACACACACACACACACACACACACACACACACACACACACACACACACACACACGATTTTATAGTGACCAGTCTAGAGTCCGGCTCCATCTACTGGCCAGCTTGGTTGATCACGGGTAGGGAGGACCCGGGTGCCATCAGTCATGACATGATGCTCCGGGGAAGTCTCGGCAGGACGAACCGAACGTTTCATGGCAAGGCCCCCTGTTTATACAGTGATTTTTTTTATTGGGACCGATGAGTTTTGCACCGTTATGCTGCGATTAGTTGTTGTTTGACGAGTGCTTGGGTTGTTTTAAATTGTTTTTATTTGGTATTACAGCTACTTTGGTCCTAGTGATAGGAGCCTGTTTTATTTTTAGAGTCGTCAATTTGCCCTTTTCTGACATTTTACTAGGGGCGTGTTGCAGCCTCCTGGAGCCCTCGTGTCTGTTTCCATTTTTTTTCCTTGTACATCTGGTTCAGCGATGGCTTTCACACTTATTTTTTTACACACACATTCCTTACTTACACACACAACAGGATTACTTTACACAGAACATTTTAAACAGGCCCATCAAGTTGCAATGCACCAGAAAACCAGCATGGCATTCTGTGACTGATTTTAAAATGCTGAACCTACAACAAAGCAGGGACTGTAAAAACGTCTGTTACTGCCTTGAAATCAGCCCAAACACAGATTCCGGCCGATGCCTCTTTACCAAATGGCCCATTTAGGCCCATTCCTTTTCGCTATTTAAAGAGGGTGGCTGGCAAGATATAGGTAAATCATACACCAATACATTTAATGCATGCTACGTTATTATTTTTTTATTTCAAATGATACAAAATACCAACATAAAAATGTTACGACTACAACACAAGCCCTATACGAGGACAGACGTCCCTGCCGGCGACTCTCTGTTGGCCTCAAGAGCCTACGCTGAGGACAACCTCCCGGGGCGTTCTGGGAGCGACAGCCATGTGACCCTACTGCAGAAGCAGGCTGCCATATTGAAAGCAAGGACGGGCTGAAGCCAAGGCGTGTGGCTGCACGTCGCCCTGCCCTGGGGCGTGGTAGGAGGCCCGCGCCAGAGCGCTTTGTTGATCCAGGCTGTTTGTGTTGCTACTGGTGCCGTGGCCTTTGAGCTCCAGTCAAGCCTGGGGGTGCTCAGCTAAGGTGGAGCCCCGCAGAGGGTGGGCAGAGCAGCCCATGGAGGGCAGGAAGAAAGCCCCGGTGAAGGTCTGTTCATCCAGGTGCCTGCAGACACGGGGATCCCACCCCCCAAAGCAGTGCTGGAGGCCTCAAAGGGAACGTGCCGGACGGCTGCACCGTCACACGCGGCGCCAGGCCTTGACCATTAGCTGATGCACCCGGACGCCGCTCCAGCTCCCCCTACAAAAGCCAGATTGGTGTTCCGGGGCCCCTCACGCCCTGCCCCAAAGAGCCCCTCTGCACGCGAGCCCATCGGCCGGGTGGGAACGTGCCCCACAAAGTCACAAAGTCTATGGTCAACCTTTCCAAGGAGGCGGTGAGACCCTGCCCCGCCTGTCACCAATATAGACCAGCATCGGCCTGGCTGCTCCTGGACACCAAAGTCCTCTTAACTATTATATTGTCCAGAGGCTCAGAAGCCTATTGGCTGTATTGGGCCCCTGATCAAAGCAAATACCTCCTTGACCTTTGCAAAAACAATATCCTCACCCTTGCTGCGGCAGCTGGTCTGCTGCAGCCAGTGCTGATCCCAGCGAGTGGCATCTCCTGGTGTCCAGCGGTTCCCCCCAAATGTGTTACCCACCTGCTGGTCATAGGCTCACACACAGCCTGCAAGGGAGGAGCACGGCTCCCTGCTGGCCATACGTCCAGCGCGGAGCATAATGGGGCCCATGGCCTCTAGAAACTACTGTAAATCTAATGCTAATAAATACCAGTATGAGGCAGCT